TACGGAAGCATGTCATAACATTACCCTAAAATAGTTTTTTTCCTTACTTTGGCGGAAGCAAAATCTCTAATTACATCTTCATAATCTATTTGCCTAAGCAATGTCCTTTCCATTGTGAGTAAGGAAAGAGCATTTAAACGTTCATTTAACATTGAAGCACACAATTCATTTTTTACTCTAGCCATTTTAGGAAAAGCTCTCTCTGCACTGCAGTTCGTGGTTCGCCAACATTAGCAAAAAACAGATTCGAGTTTGTTTTTTCTAATTATTTTGATGCATTGTTAAGCGGATGGTGTTTCACCATCAAAATATTTCGCAAACTGTACCATTTCATCGGGAAAAGAGCTGTCTATATCTGGAGAGTATATGTCTCCCAATCTTTTGTCTGCAGCAAGCCAATGTTCCAAACACATTTGTAACTTGTCAACTACCGGTATAAAATTTTCTACGCGAAACTTCTGAATTCCAGATAAACTGATTTCACCTTCAGAAGTCTCATCATTTGCCAGTTTTCTTTTTCTCTTTCTAGAAGTCTCTCTCCTAAACTGTTCTTCTACTACATTTGAAAGCTGACGAGCTTGAATTTCGATTCTATCAAATTCTTTACATAGCGAATTCACATATTCCTTCAGCGAACTGATAAACAAATCAGTAGACAAATTAAGGCTCTTTTCTTGAAGTTTAACACTTGTAGCGTCAAATCTTCGAAGAATTTTAAACCAAAACACTTTCATAAAAGCAATATCTAACGTTCTCATTTTATTCATCAAAGCAGTAGTGTCATTTTTTTAGTGTTTGCCTTGCATCAATATCCTTAGATAAGTCTTCAAGTTTGGCATAAATTATGTCGTAGTTTTCATACAGATTTTTTTTAAACGGATCTGGCTGACTATCTTGTTCCACTGAGGTTCTTAAGAGTAACTGGACTCCCATAATCGCTTCTTAAGCCATCACAATGCTTTTGCAACGCTTTGTTGAGTTTGAAGAAAATTAAAAAAAATCGATACACATCCGAAACTTTCCATTGCATTCACGCCTTGTACATTTAATGAATGTACTGTACAAGGGATGTAATCAATATATTGTTTTATGTTCTTGAGATACGCGTGTAGGCCATTGTATTTACCGGACATTTTTGCTGTATTATCGTACAATTGTCCACGTACATTTTGAATGTCTATTCCCATCTTATTTAATTTTTCTACGACAACTGCAGCCATTCATTTTCCTGTATGCCCACTTGAAGAATCATAACCAATAAAACGCTCCTGTGTATCACCTTCCTCATTCACGTATCGCAATATTAAAGCTAACTGATCTGAGTGGGAGACATCGAGTGAGGAATCTACAATGATTGAAAAGTATTTAGCATCGCGAATTTCATCAGCAATTGTCTTCTAAATTTTAACAGCTATCAAAATAATTTCTTCATAAACTGTGAAGGATAAATACGAGGTAACTCTCCGGTGCTTGGCCAAAAATGGATCGAATTTAACTGTATATTCTAATGCAACTAAAAAGTTGCTATTGTTGAAATCTTCAATCTCCTCTAAGTGCTAGTCCTCTTCCACACAAGAATTTTAGACATTCAACAACTTGACGCAATACCTCTCGCCAATATTGTATTTTCGTTTTCTAAATGTCGACTTTACTTTTTTCATGGTTTTGTTACGACAGCGAAAGTCACGTGACGCTGGTGGCGCGCGTGATGAGTTTCTGGAATGATCGCTGGTATATAAGCCTGGCAGAGGAAAACCAGCGTGGTGGGATATATAAATGAAGAGAGAGAGCAGTAGTTTTTTTGAGTTTCGTGTAATTTATGATTCTGTTAGTTTAGAGCTAGTAAGCTGTAAAGTGTGTGCCTTGCACTCGTCGAGAGCGAAGTTATCGAGATTGCGAATCGCTGTGATTGATACCTTGTATTATAAAAGTAGTAAAGTTTAAAGTGACGAGAAACGTACTGATA